AAACAATATTACAAATATTTTTAATAATTTTTAAACCAGCTGTTCTTCTGTAGATAGATTTTATATATTTTAAATAAATAAATAAATCAAGCAATATAAAAAATATATGAAATTATTATAGTTTATATTATATTCTAAATTCGCCAAAAATTAGATTGAATAGGATTTTTTGTTCAATTGTATCACAGTTTTAGTTGATGTATGATTTTGACACTTATGGAATAGGAAACAGCAATATTCAAAATCAAGATTTTCAATTTATATTATTAATTATATTATTAATTATTAATCGATTACCGTATATTACATACATACGTTTGGAATTAAAGGTAATGCTGCGACTTGTGTAGTCAAGTGGATTATTATTGGCAATAATTTTAGCTTTCTTAAACGAATTATGATATCACAATTTTTAATACGAGTGTCAATTTTGTTTTAATGTTACGAGAAAACCCATTGCAAAAATAAAATAGTGCTCTTCGATAATTCTATAAATATAACTAACATTTTCCCATCACATTCTTATAAATATAACTAACATTTTCCCACCACATTTTTATATCTGTGTAATATATAATGTGTATATCTGTGTAAATATAATACGTATATCTGTGTATATAATTTCTTATGCAAATGTCTCAAAATACACTTCTAATTTCTTTCATCCTTCATTCTTTACAAAATTTTTCAATGTATAATGTCGAATTGATAAATATTAATAAATATCAATGTTTAAAGTAAGCTAGATTTAAATAAGCTAGAAAATAATCTAGATTGGAAATAGTCAAAGTAATAAAAAATTAAAACGTGCATATTAAAACATATTCTGAATTTGATATGACTTTTATATAATAGATATCATATTAAAAATTCCATATTAAAAATTACCGAGACAGCCATGATTTGATGCCATGATCCTATGATTTAAATAACGCAAAAGCAGTAAAAATTAATTTAAGCTACTATTTTCTTACGCGATCGATTAGCTTACATGCTAAATGACAATGAGATGCACATTAAAGTCTCGAATATCCTACTTAAGCGTTGAAAGATTGAATCATTATGTTATGTCGTCTTGTTCAGATGCGCAAAGTCGTGTCTCAACGAAGACATGTCACGAAGTCACAGCGGAAGTCAAATTTCGTAATTTTGCACAAGGGCCGAAATTTACGTTGTCAGCGGCACGAAGCACTTGGGCTACAAATTTATGGGTCGGGTCTTCAAACAAGACATACGTAGAGCACGATTCCTCGTCCGTTTCTAAGCGTGGGAGTAAAATTAATTAAGCAGTCAAGGACAAACTATCTGCTAGACATATCCAGGGATGTGAACCCAGCCGCCCAATTTTCAGTCGAGGCATATTGCGCTTCCCCTCCACCCCCCCCCCTCCTCTCTCTCTCTCTCCTCTCCCTCTTTCTCTGTCTTCCCCATCTCGCTCTCAATTTCTCTCTACCTCTGTTCCCCGGCCTTCTATCCTTTGTCATTTTCTCTTTCTCGTCGCGGGATTATTCAAATGTCGTCTTGTCGCGTATCATCCTCGAGAATACTTTCCAAATTGTCTATTAGTGTCCCGTCAGTACTATCCTTTTACCGCATATATTTTACTTTTATTGCTCCAATTCAAGGGATTCGGTGAGTTATGTAAAGACATTTGGTAGGGGTTAGTTATTGAGTTCTTTGAAAGTCGATTGGCCTCACCGCTGCCGTGGAATCGCGCTGTCTTCGGAACTGAGCTTTAATTGAGACATAAGTCGGGTGAAAATGTTACGATCTGCAGAAATCTTTTCGCGAGGTGATGTAGGAAAATTAAGATACTCGACACAGTTATCTTCTTGTAACAAGCAACGTCAATTCTATTAAGAAAATCGCAAATACGCTAAAACGTACAACGTAAAATAAACGTTACTACCGTTTAATAATAATTTCAATTTTGCGAATTTTGTCAAAAAAGTCATCAAAACGTCATTAAGAAAAAATTCTTTTTTTTCGAAATTCCTTACTAAATTCCTTACTAAATTCATTTTGCAAAGTGAATCAGGGAAGCCACTCCTATGGCTTACTACTTTCCTGTTTCACCTATTCCGACTCTGTTGTTTGCTATGCATCCTTTCATTTGCATTAGCCTGCCTTAGGATAAAACTAGAATTTCCCTCTATTTATCATTCCGGTTGGAGATTCGCGTTGTAAACCGCGCTGTTGACCGTCGCTCTTCTTGTCATAATTTTGCAAAATTTCCACAGACACACATCGTGATCGCACAGAGTTCTTTTACGTGAGTCTGTAATCTTATTCCATGAAATATAAAAATTTGTAATGTTTATTAATATATATTTAATATATACATATATTTGAAATTTCTATATATGTGTCTTATTATATATAACTTTAAAATAAGAAATAAATCGTACATGCATTTTAGGTTTTAAATAATATGTCAGAACGACGATCATTGTTTTGATTACTCGAAATTTTGATAAAAATAATTTACGCGTGAACGAATAATATCGGCTATGAAAAATAACGATTATAAAACTACCTGTTTTTTTATTGTTAAAAATTAACAGCGAAATAAATTTGTTGCCAGCTATATCAAATTTTTTATTCCTTTAAAGGAAAATATGTTTTTTTTTTACAACAATCAACAAAATAAAGCAAAAAAATATTAAAACGCTTACTCATGAAATTCTATACATAACGTAAAAGTTTCATATTTCTATTTTATAAAATATACATTTTATGTAATTATCATACTTGAAATTATTAATTATTATTGCAATATTATTAATATTACGGCAAGATATTATACTTACTATTAATAATATAAAATAACATATGATATATTTAAAAAAAATGTAACAAAGTCTATATACAGTGTATATCTGTACGCGGCACTATTCGTGTAATCTCTCGGAGTAAATAGAATTGAAATAAATAGAGCTGATTATACTAAATGAGAAAGTACTTTATTAATTTGCAATTTTTGCAATAATTAATAAGTTATATTGATTTATAAAGATTTGTGAATAACCGTGTGAAGGGACAGTTCAGTGTTACTCACATTCGCTAAGCGCGCCGCAAGATGTTTGGAGATGTGACTTATAAATAATAAAGTATCCGTTTCTAAAGTACACACTTTTTCAAACATCTTGCCTAGAAATTTGTAAAGCTACGCTATTGTTCACATTGCGGACTCACACACTCATTTCCGAATCGTTATAAATTAAAAACTTTATTAATTATTTCAAAGTTCGCAAAATGACACAGGACTTTTCTACTTGGATTAATCTACGTCACTTATCCACAAAAAGGTGATATGTCTATTATCTATATTATCTTTCATGGATATATATGGATATATAATGTGAATGTCTATATACATAAGGACACACTGTATGCATAAGGAGTCTTACATGAACGTGCTTACATGAACGTACTTTTAACCCCAGACATTTTTTATTAACGTATTATATAACATTCACACAGCTTGATAAAACATCAATACGTACAATACAATTTGATAAAATTTATTATAAGCCTTTTTTTACGAAATATGAGCAATTTGCTCTTATCAAAGACAAATTATTAATAACGTATTTGCATGATGTCGTCTCAGCACGCATGATAGCGAGTCGAAGCACGCAACAATGGAATATCATTTTCAGCAGTTACAAGTACAAGAGAAACTCCTCTAATAACGGCATCCTCTTCGCAACTATCGTCATTAATTGCGTTGCTTGTTGCTCTTACGTTAAACATTCCTGCGGGAGTGCATGCATTAAACCCGCTGGCGTTTCTTGTGCCATCATTAGCAGCGCCTATCATAAACGTCGCGTACCTCGCATTGTTTTCAAGATACGTACGAGAGACGTCCGGACATTAACGTATGATAATTAATAGAATGTTATCGCGAGATTGGACGTGCAAGAAATTTTCTCGTCTATAAGTTTCTACGTACGCGCTGCGCCCAGTGCACTCCAGTATTATTATTCCAGCATCCGAATTTTCGATCGTTCTTATTGTTTTCGCCGCATCAATCTATACTATATTCCCTTTTGCACTGCAAAGTAAGAGGAAAGAATCCTCTTTTCTCTCTTCTCGATAAGATGTAATCAATAATATATCAGACGTTATTATATATTATAAGCGATTCTACTTGCTTCAAAGAGAACGAGGCTCTTATATTCTTTAGATGCTTCCAACTATTGTCAGCCGAAGGTTGTTGGGATCAATTTTGTATGGAATAGACAAAGTATGAAATTTATTACACGCAGTAAAAAAAAAAAAACTAAAAATTCTTTCAAGATTACAATTTAAAAATATTAAAAAAATCATATAGATTAGACGTCCGGATGAGACGTACACTTTTTACAAAAAGGTATGAGTATATTGTTTTTTTGATATCGTCGCGATAGGACCATCCTCGATAAACCTCGATAAACGTAGCGTAGAATCGTTAGATGGAAGTACAAGAGAGACGGAGAGACAGTTTGTTCCATGATGATAACGCTCGAGAAATCCGGCGGTTCCCAATCAACCATCAGCTCGTCTACTCGAGCGTGCCGTGACCAACATTCAGCCCCCTTGTAAGTGAAAATCGAGAACACCTCGGCGATTCCCCAAGCGAGTTTCTCGAGCGACTTCCAAGTCCTCTCCCCTCGCGGCCATCTTCTTCCCCATATCTTTCTCTTCTCCGCCCTACTCTACCCATCTCTCGCGGATGCATCCCTTTACGCTCGTACTCATCCTCCGCCCCTGACGTGCAGCACCGCGACGGTACCGTCGCAGTTGCGGCGGCCTCATCTCAACCTTCTCCTCTTCGACTGCCAACCCTTCCCCGATCCTTTATCCCTTTCCAACTCTCTCTCTCGATGAACGGTTTCCGCAGACATCGTCCGCACCGGTCTGGGGCCGTTCCCTCTTCCTTTCTCCCTCTTTCCCATTTTCACTCTGTCTCTCTTGTACTTCCTTCGATCTTGGGATCTATCTATCTTTCCGCTTACCCCTGTGCTCCTCGGTGCTCCGAGGGGGTTGGCCGACTGGCTGGCTGCTCGCCTGACTGCTTGCCCGACTGCAAATCCTACGGTCTCCCCCGCTTCTTCCTCTTCTCCTTATCCCTCTTTGTTCCTCTACCTTGGGGGGGGGGGGGAATCTCTGTCTCTTTTATACCTCCTTAGATCTCCCTTCCTCCGCTTCTTTCTCTTTCTCGTTTTGGTTCCCTCTTGCTCCATAGTTCGTGCCTGTAGCGCGCGCACCGGATATAATACGATTCGAAATTAAACTTCCGTGGCACGCGCGGCATCCGAATAACGCGAGCGGCTGCCTAAAACAGTAAAGATATTACGTATTATTACGATGCTCGGCTACGGGTACCGTCGTGGCGGTGTTGGGTTTATGGTGGAAAACATGCGCAAAACATAGGGTATCTTTAGAGTGAAACGCGTATGTTGCGCTATAGAATGACCGCGACGAACGGGAAATCTCTCCTCTCCGAAATGTCTTTTTCGACAACGCAGTAAAGGCGCGTTGAAAATCTTTAAATTTGATCTTAAAAAGTAATCGAAACAACTACAACTTAAAATTTTTCGGCCAAATTAATTTTCTACATAACGCTTTGTGTATTCAAAAGAGGATCTCTTCGATATTTCATTGAATAAATATTTTGAATTATCTACTTCAAGCACATTTCAAAGGACTGCAAGTAAAAGTTTAGAAACAGATAATTTCTAAAGCAAATTTTTAATAGTGTAAACTGTTAAAATTTTAATATCGATGTTATTTTCATGTGATAAACTAAAAATTAAAAATCAACTTTAATATTATTTTTCAATAAAGAAGTAAAAAATACAATTAATAAAAGTGGGCAAAAATGAGAATTAGCACGAAAGTGAGTATAAAGTTTAAAATTATAAAAGTCATTATTAAGTTATTATTAACAAAATACTTAATTTTGATTATTTTTTTTGAGCCATTTTTAATTGATAACAACAGCAAGTTTGTCTTCCGCTTTCATAAGTTTCGAGCGATAAGGATCAATCTGTGTTAATAAAAAAAGAATATCGCAGAGGATCTAAAAGATGCCAATCAAAACTAGACGATTACAATCTTTTAATGTGACAACGGAAACAACTATAGGGATCTGTGGAATCGATTTTTTACAAAAAAGTCTACGCAACAATAACGTTTTACAATTTTAAACTTATTACCGCGCTAATTCTTTTATTTTCCCGCATTTTTCATTAATCATATTTTATTCCGTGAGAAAATCCCTGTTTCATTATTTATTAAAAGTAGTTTCCAACTTTGGTTTACCAAGAGTCCTAGAAATTCGCGTCGATTGGCGTTTCCCGATCCTACGCGTCAATCTACAAATGGCAGTTTGACGCGTGATCGATAATCGCGGCCGAGTAGCCCAGATTCCAAACTCATTAGCTGTAAAAAAAAAAGAGAAGCGAATCTATACTCGAAACTCGTCGCGGCTCGTGACTTGCGCCGAACGCATCGCGCTACGAACGAACGTCAGTTATTTGTTATTTAATAGGGTCAAATCCCTCATTAATCAACGACAACAAGCGCAACGTGCTTCGGTGCTATTAATTTGTTCCCATTCGGAACATTACCTACTGAAGCCGCGGTGATTTAAATATCCACGATACAAATGCATTCGCGACGAGGAGAAAAGGGGGTTGGAAGTTGGAACATTGACGGCCAACCGATGAATAATTTTGCAAATAAAAAAGACATTTAAAAATAGACATTTCGGCTAATAATGAGTATACAAATAATGAGTATACAATTAACAATCAACTCATAATCATGTCGAGAATGCGTGAAGAGATGTAATTGCGAGGAAGTAGATAATATTCGAAGGTTAGCATCTTAAAGCCAAAAAGAGACGTAAAATATAAGAACCTAACGATACAAGTTTGAGAATATAAATTATTAATTCGACGATGAAATTATTGACTCATTCGTCATTTTTTTTACTTTCACTCAGGAAAAGAAAGAGAAAATTCATTTTATAAATAACGCAGGGACTTAGTTATGACTCCAAGCGATAATACAACGTGCATAGGATACATAATATTTTCAGATAAAGTGAAAACTGAATCGCTCCAAGAGTTAATTCACGGCCATTGCAGAGACAGGCGTCAAACGATTCTCATATATGGCCCTCTCGTCTTGAACCAAGGGTTGCACCTTCACTTCTCTATGTATTTACAGTACATTTCAAAAGTAATAGTTCCCGAAATATTGTGCAAATTACACCGGCCATAATAACGTTTGCTATTGACTTTAGGTAATAGCTTTTTATTTCGAGAATTCAATCTTTCTGTTAACTTTTTATGGACTTGTGTGAATGTTATATCACTTTACTAATGTATTCGCAATCTTATCAAAATTTATTCACAAAAGAAACATTACATCATCTGTAAGCTATAATTATCATTACGTATAATCTATTATCTCATCATGTTAGTATAAAGTGCAATTTATTATGCAGAATGTTTATAAAATTATACACACAATCTATTGAAATTATTACTTTTAGTCATGTGTATTATTCCGTTTGGACTTTAGATATAAATAATCTTTTAAATATATATTATATCTCTTATTTAAAGATTTCTTGTAGCGGCAAATGTGTAGAGCCCTGTAGGGAGTTTCGTGCATCCCTATGAAACCGCGCGAAGCGAATCTCTCCTCCTTTTTCGACCAACATCAGCGCGGCGTTAACCTCCTCCTCCTCCTCCTCCTCCTCGGGCCGACATTATTCTGTTTTAACGGAATTACTCCAAATTGTGCGTATATATCATAGTTATGCTATTGCGGTTGGTTATATTGTGCGCTAAGCGACCTCGGGATGGTACGGGTTGGGCGGGTGCCTGCGTTAGCAGAGGTAGCAATTCGTACGTAGGGGTAGGATAGGGTAGTGGTAAAGCCACCTCGCGTGTATACTACGGACAGTCAAACCATAGGAGTAATAGAGGGAAATGGGAGATAAGAAATCTGCGGGGGTGTGACGCTTTATAACTTTCACTTTTTTTCATTTTGCGGCCGGTAATTGTTTTAATCCGGCCCGCTCGATCCTTCTTCCCTTCGCCAACTCGCCGACTTGCCCCTCCGACTATCCGTTGCCTCTCACAAAAGAGAAATAGAGGTCTTTCCGTGCGCGGGAAAGGATGGAGAAGAGCCTCGATAATTCCAAAAGGAAAGGTTCGGCGAAGATATTACGTGTTATTTAAACGAAAAAAAAAAAAAAAAAAAACCGGATTACGGGAGATGAGTTACCGACTGGCTTGGGTTAATTATATTTGTGAGCGCGCGTGTAGCAAAAATTGTCAGCGGCGGAAGCGTGCGAACGTAAGGAATGGGTCGCGGATGCGCGTAATTATGGTCGAGAATAGTTGGAAGCGCGCGAGACTAGAAGGAGAAAAGAAATACGTAATACGTAATAATATTTCCCTCGGATTTTGCCGATGCGTTTTTTATACTATTAGAACAGTACAAAATAGCGCGCTTCGCGCGCGCCATTTATTTTTTAATATTTTTATATTTTATATTTTATATTAAATATTATACATTATATATTTTTTTATAAAATATTTACATCACATATTATATAATCTTGCTATTAAAATCTCACATAATATTAGTTACATAACGTTACTATATCCGAATTTTCATTTCCAAAATTTAATATTTATTCCTGACTCCATTTCCTTCGCGTGTGAAGCCCAAAAGGAAAGATGTATACCTTACATATAATTTTGTTATAAACGTTGAAATCTTTATGTTTGAGATAGCGCGATACAATAGCGCGCGGCCTTGTTGGTACTTTGTTTACAATCGATCGGATATTGTATACGCGCGCGCAACGCGTTATCATTCAACCACCGACACTCGTGCGGGCAGGTTGGTGTTACGTATCGCTCCGCCGCATTTTCACATTTTCTTTTCGAAACGAAATCGCGACGACGAATTCTAAATGATATTCAGAATATCTCACGATGCATGTTATAATAAACGTTGGTACGCCCGCGCAGTTATGAGTTTGTCGGATTTATACGTACATATCATCAAAAGATGACCTGTTTTATTTGAATATTCCGGGCGGCGGGAACTGACTCGTATTCACTAATCAATAACGCTTATCTTTTGAAGCATGGTGATAATTTATTTTTGTAAAACGATATTGTAACGACGGGTATTGCCTTAACATGACGGAAGGGCTGCGTATTCTGAAGGGCTTTCTTTAATAATGATCTAATTCGAGTATCTTCGAATATAAATTCTCCCGGAATGGTGCTTCTCTGCTTTGAAATTCTCACCGATTTAAGTGCAATTTACATTTTGTAATATGTATAATTAGTTTATTGTATCAATTTATTATAACAAACAAAATATATAATATATATATGTATCTCAAGTAAATTGTAACGAATCTATTAAAAATGTGTTCGTTTTGGACGCTCATGCGCCATAAGTATCATTTTACTTGTACTATTCATATTCACGTCCAAGAAAACTAAAACAATGTTTCCAGCGCACAAGCGTCCAAACAAATGCACTCTAAATGAAAGAGCAAATGCAATGACAATAGAAATTTAGAAAGTAAAATATAACGATTATATTATTTAATCATTATCGAAAGATGTTATAACGCTTCGTAGAAATTAAATTTGATTTGTAACGTACGTATTGAATTTCGTCTAGCCAAACTGTTGTTGTTTTAGTTAAGAGTTTACGTGCCGCGGCTGGTACGTCATGTGTTTACGAGTGCTCCGTGCGTTATCAATATCTCACCGGTGTTCGTAGGGGTAGGTCGCGGTACGCATCGTATTTCTTCGTATTTTTTCAATGTTAAATGATACCAAATCGTGTTATATCTTATGAATATTATGTAACAGTAAATGCTTTTTAACGCGCGTAATTAACGACTCGTAAGCATATCGAAATGACGGATCTCTAACAAAGTATATAACATATTTATAACGTGACTTATTCCTTTGATATTCATAAATTTTTATAAACGATAATCCCCTCTCCCCCCTCTCCCCCCCTCCAATGGATACGGCCTTGACGTGGCAGAGGGGC